CCAGGACAATTGTGGGTTGGCACGCAAGAGACTAGGACGGGGGAAGTGATGGACATGCTATTACAGATAGAAATAGGACGGACGCGGTGAAGACTAAGGCTATTTCGGGAAAAATATACGTATTTTATCAAAGATGTGATCCTTGAATAACGACCATTATTAGCCAACGAGCTCTAGCTTCCATTGTTTCTAGCTATAATATAAAGTCTATGACATCCTATGCCCTAGTCTGTTGTGTGCCAAACCCACAAACGTTGTGGTTCAACATTTAACCTAATCAAAGCAAGAAGTACCACAACATTTGTGGGTTAGCACACAAGTTACTAGGACATGACAAGGCATAGATTTGGTATTAGGGATAGAGACAGGATAGACCAGGCGGCGATTGGAGCTAGTTGGCTGACAGTAGGTTTTACAAGAGACGCGGTCCATGTAGCAAAGGCATGACCATGAGACTTACTCTGAGGCTTTAGCCCCTAATCAATCACCCAGGTGCAGGGGATGGACGAATAACGTCTCGAGTAGCACAGATGGGGGGCAGGGGTCGAGTGAAATACGTGTACCAGGGAGATAGCAGACGGATTCTACGGGGCAAGAGGGAGACTCTGATAGGACCCAGGGAAGAAGAAATAAGTAACAATATGGCCGACTCTGGTCAACATTCCCAGCACAAGAATGAAGCGGGTGAGAACGACAGTGTGGAGTTTAAACGGATTTCATGAATGCCGCTCGAAGGAGCATAACAGACTACATCGAAATAAGCACGGTAAAAACAGTGAGAGTTAAGGCGTGATAGAAGGTTATAGGAAATGTGAATAGCCCAGGACAGAAGGGGAGATACCACAACTGTTTAACACACGTTTCGTCAAAGGATGGGCTTCACTTGTCTTTTTGACGAGCTGTACTATGGTGCTTCGAATGGCGAGACTCACTGACGATGCCGGCGAAACGTCTAAGAATGTACCACGTCCATGGTCCTACTCTGGAAATGATGATGCATACAATGGACTCCGGACTTGGTGCGTTGCTCTAAGTCTTCCTACCAATATGACCAAGGTCAAACAACTTCAGTATTCTTTACTGCTATTTCTTCATAAGCATATACTTGACATTTTCTCTTTTATTTTTAGGCCGCTATCCTATATACCTCGGCTAAAGGTGATCGCCGTATTCGAGTCCACACCCTCTGTTTGCCTGTGGTTCACACTGTCGAAGAGGTCTTTGCTGGTGCTGATCAGGGTGCAATTTTATGCCTGCTTGCTAAGATGGCTGTAGAACGCAGTCTTTCCTCTAGTTTGGACAACGCGCGTGAGGCACTTGTAAACGCTGTTACTGATTGCCTTGCCGCCTTCGCTTCTTCCACAGGACTTAATGTCGCCAGTTGTGATGGTCAACTCATCTGTCCTGCTAGCTTGCGCCTTCTACCACTTCTGATATGTGGTTTGCTAGCATCGCGAGCCTTTCAACGTTCGGGCACAACTAACAGCAGCGGTAGTAACTTCAGTCGTTTGGATGAGCACTCTGCTGCCCTAGAGCGTATGAGACTTGCTCCGCCTAGTGAATTAATTCCCATTGCCTATCCTCGACTATACTCGATCGCTCGTCTCTGTATGAACCCTTTGGGCGCGTTAGGGGTTGATGAAACCTCTGATGG